CTGAAACAGCTTTTTGCCATAGTAAGCTACATGCTACTAAGCTACATGTTACTAATATAATGCTGAACTCATTGAAGTTAGAAATTCAACTTTTAAAATCCTATCATTAAGCGTCCGGAGTTACCCCGTTTTCCGAATTTGATTTTTTGATTTTCAAACCGTTTATTTAAGGTAATAATCTATAGAAGAGCTTAGTACCAGTATTTCTTTATGTTCATCATTATTAGAGTGTTCGATTAACACAAAATAAATAATTTTGAATTGCTTTTAAAGAAACAGTCAAACATTTTATATCTAAAATTGTCCGGAGTTACCCCGGTTGACGGTATTATTACAAAACATATATTTGAGGATAATTTATTTACAAATTATGTCTCTAACTAACAAACGGCGATTTAGGTCATGTAATGTTAATTCCATTAAAAAATTGTTTGAAAAAGCAATTGCTTGCATGGAAACTTCTGTTTCCATACAAGCGAATATTTTGCATGGAAACTTCTGTTTCCATGCAAGCGAATAATTCTGTTGACAGTGCAGCAGAGGAACTAGCTAGTTTTCATAACACACTGATTGAAAAGTTTAAAAAAGTCGAACAATTTAATGAGGAAATTATATATCATATTGAGGATGACGAAGAACTAGATATTGAAGAAGATACTTCAACCGAAATCACTTTATACTTTCGAAGAAACATTTTATTGATTAGTAAATTTATAGAAAAAGAGAATTTCTCCAAAGTCGATGAAGGAAATATTTCTAATAAATTAAAATCTTGTGTTAAACTACCTCAAATAGGCACTTCAACGTCTGAGCGTGTAATATCGATAATCGATAAAACACGGCTAAAGAAAAAAGATCTGAGGTTTTATGCCGACAAAAAAGTTTGAGGTGTGTGTTCTTCAATCGTGCATCCGATGACTTAAAATACAAAAACTTTTTATTTGTTTATTCCAAAAAGTAGAGCCACAGATTATCAACAATACCAAAAATATGTTATTGAGATTTTTGTTTTTAGAGATAATTTGAATCAAAAACTAAGGTCATTTTATAACCCAAATATTTTGGTGGCATTTAGTGTTTTTTTAATTTATTAAAAAAATCAACTATAGCATTAAATTAGGCTTATAATGTGCATGTTTTTGAATGGTAAGCGTTAATCACACAAAAAATATGCCTCCCACCAAAAAGTAAACTTTAAAAAAAAACTTTTTTTTGCACTTATCAACTTTTAAGACTCAACTCGTCAATTTTCAAGACGAAAATTTAGTTTTTAAAACCAGTATATTGTTTTGAAAAACCTATTTTGCATTACCATTAAATAAAATTTTTTTAAAAAAGTACTGTCACAGATTTATTATGTCAAATGTGGGTTGTTTCCTATTCATTAAAAGTCCATTTACTATAGCTTTTATTGGTGTTATATTCTTAGTTTTGAATAGTAACGGTCTTGTTTTTTGTTACTTTTGTAAATAAACGGAAACGTTGATGCGATTCTTAAAGACGTTAAACCGCTTAAAAACCTCAAAAGTCATACAAAAAAAATCTTAAATTTTGTGGTTTAAAAGTTCAATAAGTTTTCAACTAATAATAATATAACGATAAGTTTGTTATTTTTTAACTCATCATGTTTAGCTCTAATTTATGGAGTTTGTTTTGTTTTCATTTTACATTTTAAAAAAAAAATGTTGAAGTGCCTACCTTTGTAAACACCCTATATTTAGAGGTTTCGGCATCTGTTCTGAATTGCGGTTTCTTGTCGGCCTCTTTCCCTATCGAAAAGGGAGTTAGACAAGGCGACCCCCTCTCTCTTTTGTTGTATGTCTTTGTCGCCGAGGCTCTCGCTTTAGTGATTAGAGCGGACAGCAGAATAGAGGGTTTCCCATTACCAGGAACACCGAAACCGCTTAAATTGCAGCAGTACGCAGACGATTCGAACTTTTTTGCCAGGGACGTAAAATCAGTCCGCTTTTTTTTCAAAACAGTAAAACTATTTGAAAAAGCAAGTGGTTCAGTGATCAATGCCTCAAAAACCAAGGATCTCGCTCTTGGGGGTTTTGATCCTAAAATTTACCCTGAATTGGACAGCATAGAGTGGAGCAATAACACCGGTTTTAGAATTTTAGGTGTTACGTTTTACACCAGACTGAGTAATACTACCAATTTCAACTGGTTAGTAACTCTAAATAAAATAGAGAAAAAACTCAAGTTTCTGGGACTACTTACTTTGTCACTTAAGGGAAAGACTATGTTGATAAATGCGTTAGCAATGTCAAAAGTTTGGTTTCTATCAAACGTGTTGCCTACTCCTGATTGGGTAATAGACCGTTTGCACTTCGCCTCAAAACACTCTTTCAATTGAAAAAATGCAAAGAGGACCAAACTCACGATTGTTACTACTTTTCAAAGTATTGGTTGGCAAGTTCACTTATAAAATATACGAACCAAAACCAAAACTGGAACTTTTTGAAACAGAACAATTTTCCAAAACACTGGGACAACAAAATGTCTCAGTACTACAAAACAACAATAGAAGCTTTAGATCAAAACGAGTCCCTGTTTAACATCCCTCTAAAATCAACAAAAAATTTTTACTTGGAAGTGGCAAAAAACAAAAAGACAGTCGTACCAGCAGAACCTTTTTGAAACAGTTCAACAAAAATGACAATACGGTGGACCCAAATTTGGAAAAAGAACTTTACCTCCCACGCATGCGGACCAACTCAAAACATCCTCTTTCGATTTTTACACAACAGCTTACTTTCTGCGGCCTTGCTAGTCAAAAGCACAAAGCAACAGATTGTCAAAAACAACAAATGTAAAACGTGTGGTAAAATTGAGGACAATCTTCACATCTTTGCCTACTGTCCTCCCTCTGTTGAAATTTGGGAGCATTTTAAACATGTATATAACTCCTTGACATCCCAAAACAATTTTTCTCCGATAAATTCAATGTTCTCCATCCAAACAGCGAATTTATCGGAAAAAAACCCTCCTCGCAGCTGCTTTGGACTCTCACTCAAACCATCATGAGAGAGATATGGAACAGCAGATGCCACCATATGTACAACAATTCCAAAGTCGATCCGATGGCAGTGATCAGGGTAATAATCAGAAACATCAGGAATATTACTACTTTAAAATATAATTATCATGTCCGTAGAAACACTACGAACATTTTCTGTCAACTTTTTTGTGTTAAAAAAATAATATGCCAAGTAGAGAATGGGAATCTAAAACTAAACATATGAGCTAACCTAATAGACCAGCTCAATAAAAGAACTAAATGTTTAGTGTTTTTTTCCATTTCTCTACAAATTATTATTTTTACAATATAATATTATTAATTATGATTAAATAATCACTGCCAGCCTTTATTTTATCACTTATAATTTCCTTATTTAAATGTTTTTCTATTGCGTTCGTAATGTGTTATTTTGTGTTAAAGTCCTGTAATTGTTTTTGTTATTTAATTATAAATTTCTTCCTTTAAATAAAAATTTCTTGTAATCCTTTTTTAAACATCTTATTCTTCCACTTTACCTTAATTTTCGATTTCTTTCCGCACAATGGCACTAAAATAAAAAAACAAAAAAATACAAAAAAATATAAAATTGAAAACCACAAAAAATTATAAAATTAAAAAATAAAAAAAATATATAAAATTAAAAAATAAAAAAAATATATAAAATTAAAAAAAAACAAAAAGTTACAACAATATGAAAATAAAAATATATATATATCTGTGGTAACAGTTGTATTATTATTATATTAAAATATTATTATTGTAACCATTGTTAAAGTTTTTAAATTTTAATTGTAAAACTAATATATTGTAAAGCTATAATATTTAGTACTTGAGATAATGTATTTTATAAAATTGAAAATAAATATTATTTTATTAAAAAAAAAAAAAAAATGAGTTTAATATATCCGTATGTTTAGTGTATTTGTTTTCCTTGTAATCCTTTTGACAATTTTGTTATTTAAAGATTTTTTTAGGGTACGTATAGGGCATATTTATAGGATATAATTACTCAACAGATGATAGACAGAAGAAATAAATGTGACTTCTATTTGCAATCGAAGTGTAGCATGTGCTTTTATTTAGAGTGTTTTAAGTGGGATAATCATTAAAGCCTCATATGAAACGCACTAACACTATAAAGAAGAGTAGTAGACCGTAGGCCAAAGCATAAAAAGATGCTTTAAAATCAATTTTCGTGGTGCAGTCATGAGCTCTAAAAAATTTTGATGCAAATGAGCGTTTTAAGGTGTTAAGATTATAAATTATAAATTTCTCAGTTCAAAAACCCGCAGTTTTTTTTATGTCGACCTTTAAAAAACCATCAAAACGATCTATCGATTTTTATCGATTTTAGCTGTTAACTATGAATTTTTTTTTTTTTTTTTTTAGAATGTAATTGGATTAGCAATTTTGATTGGTTTTAAGGCAATTTTAAAAAAATATATATTATTAAAGAAAAGTTTCGCACTAACGTGTTATTATCGTGTAAAAATAGCAATTTTATCGATTCATAACCGATTTAGACAGTTCAACAATATTTTAAAATTTTATTCTTTTCAAAAAAGCCTTTTAAAATATACGTAAATACAACAATTAAAAACTATTACTTAAAAGTAATGAATTTGGTCTATAAAAGATCATCTTCTAAAAATTCATCTTCGTACTCATCGTAATCCTCAACACCATTATCATAAACATCTTCATCGTCAGCAAAAGCAGTGTTATCACACTTTGAGCAGTTACATAGTTCTGAACACTTTAAAGCCGATTTTACACAAGAACAGCGTATAGTATCACAACTTGTCGTACAGTTACATTTTACAAAGTTCAGGATACTGTCTGGTGCTACTAGATTCATGCCATTCAATGGCGATTCCTGATTCACTAACCATCCAGCCATGGTTTTGGAAATCGTCTAAATTATGAATAGGCTTAGTTGCATTTCGCCATATATATGATTAATAGTTAACTCGTTTTATATGACATCTAAGAGACATGGGAGCAGTTCTTCGTCGTGTATTCCGGATTTAAACAATTGATACCTCATTTCGTTCACAGAATTACAAGTAGAATTCTTTTGATACATATAGCAGACAAACTTCTCCAGACTACTTAAAACACTTTCTGAAATTATAAAGGAATCTCCTAATCGACTAAATGTGTCAAGAAATTCGGTATACTCAAAGAGGACCTTAAGGGGTTTCCCTTTACCTTTTCCCATGAACGAGCTTGTTGTGTCACAACCTAAAAAATTTAAATATTTTAGAGAAATTCATAGCATACATTTTTGTAATATATATCTTGTTGCATATTAAGAAAATAAAATCCATCTAATTGGCAAATGACCCCAAGGGTTAGAACCTGGAGAATTGTGTTTCAAACTCAAACAACTAACCTACTAAATATAATCACAAAGAACTTCCTACTAATATATAATTAATCATAAGAAAACTGAAATAAATACTAATCACTTGATTAATATAAAATACCTGTAAATGTATGAAAACCAATAAATGCCTGGCACCAATTTTTATTCCAATGCTGTATGACAGCATTTATTGAGATAATCCTTCTTTTATTTTCTATTCCAGTGAGAAAGTATAGACAACTATCTTTACAAAACGTGTTACTTAAGCTTATTACAAACACATCAGTATCCGGACTTTGAATAATGATATTTTTAATCCCGTTGGTGATGGCGTGTTCAACATGAGCTAAAAGGCGTGTATCTGCTTCCTCATGATTGCAGTGCAAAGCAGCTACTTCGTTCACAACAACAGTTTTCAATATAGGGACGAATTGATGACAAAATTCACCATGTGTTATGTATACTGAAATTCCACAAAACAAACTAGGATCACTCAAATGCCAGCTTTGATATAAAAAGTCTACCAAATCTTCTTTGTTGCTTCCAACAGACATGTATTTTTTCCACTGCTTTGGAACCTTTTGGTTAGGGTTCATAATCTTGATTGTCTGGCTTCCCAATGAAGCTCTTTTATCTCGTTCAAGATCTTTTATACTGACTTCTGGATATCTGTCGCTGACAAAATCAATACGAGATGATCCAAAGGAGTTTCCCATAGAAATAACTGTACACAGAAGAAAATCAGACAACTCTTTAAATGTTGGAGTGATAATTTTTAACGTCTGTAGTAACGCCATAGCATCAATCATCAAAGCATTACCTTTTTCAACATTATCTACTATAGCATCAACAACTGGAGTTTCAATTAAACTGATTAATTTGCTCTTTTGTGTTTTTACTAAGCCACCAGTTGTTGTAGCAAAAGGCATTGGATATGGACGAAGAGGATACTTTAAAACTTCTCTCATCTCAACATTTCTGGATTTAGCAATTAGAATTAGTTTTGCAAACAAATTTTTTGTGTTTTTTACTGTAACTAAGTCTCCATTTGAGGTTTTAGCTGAATGCTTTTTTAACATACTGGAAAATGTTACAATTTTTGATTTAGGAATGGATGAGTGTAAATCCTGTTCACTTGATAGTATTCTGGTGTTAATAAATGATACAACTTTCTCTTCGCCTGTACACAACATGTTTCTCATATCTGTAGTCAGTGGAACAGTTGCAACTGCTCCTGTAGATAAATTAAGGGGGAGGGGGTGTGGAGGGGATGTTGTACCCCCTCAAAGAAAGTGGTTTGTGAGTTATAGTCGGTTTTTTGACAAATTTAGTCGGCTGGTCAGGTATTTGACTCAATTCAGTTAAGTGAATTTTATTTTTCAAGAACCTCTTTTACTTTTATTTTTAAGAAACGGTACTTTTTACTGGTTCTTCACACCCTTTCCCTTCCCCCCGCCTTAACATCATTTTAATACATTGGTTTATAAAGTCAAAAGTCTCCTAGTAAGGTTGTGGTGGGCAAGATTTTTTTTGTTTTGGTGCCCCAAGATGTCCTTACGGTCTTATCACAGATTATATTGTAAAGTACTGCAAATACTTGTATAAAATCTTTTTAAATGAAATTTTAAAGCTCTCAGTAATTTGTCGGTCAGTTTAATAGATAATGATAAATACGACACTGAGCGTAAATATGCATAGCAAATGACAGGATAAAACAGTTTTAGAAAGTTTTGAAAACAAATCATCATGGTTGCTATTTATAGTTATAATAAAAAGTTATAATAAAAAAACATAAAAAAATACCCAAAAAAGTGTTTTTCAATGGGGGCTTTCTAAAAATTGTACTTCACAATATTTTACCATAAAATTGTCATAAAATTGTCTGCCTAACTAAGACATAAAATTTTACTAATTAATTATAAAATAAAAAAACTTTTTTTAAAAATTTCCTAAAATTTCCAAAAAACTTCCGGAAAATTTGCAACCCTATAAACTGTACATATTGCACCTTTTAATATCTTGTGCAATTCCTTACCGCTTTCTCTACGCTATCTTCCTAACATGATTTCTTTAATTTTTTGCATTAATATATCTTTGTTCTTAACAAACTCATCTTAATCTCGGTCCGTAGAGCGGGTTATGACACACCCTTCGGAGCTGAACTAGTCTTTGTAGGTCTTAGTAATGTGGCCTCTGTATGGCAATTAGCCAGAGGAAGATAAACTACAAGAAAAAACAACTATATTTTTATAATAAGTTAGTCTAATTAATAGCATGAATTTATTATATTTTAATCTAGTTAATAACATAAATGAATTTTATCATCCAGTGCAATTAATTGTTCGCTTTATTTATACTATCTTTCTAACTCGCTTTCTTCTGATTTTCACTCGATTATTCTTCGTTCTTCTTATCTCTCATACACTTGGTCTGCAAAGCGGGTTATGACGCTCTTTAGTGAGCTGAGTTTGTCTTTGCAGGCTTTGGTATGTGGATTCTATATGGTAGTGGAAAGTTGGGTAACCCCGGACGGCGGGTAACTCCGGACACTTGATGTACAGCTTAAACTAAAGAAACTATGTGATTTTTAATCCTATAATAACATTATTTGAGTGAAAATATGGCATATGCAAAATATCTATCATAAAATGACGAAGCAAATAACTGGGAGGGCAAGACTTTGTTTCCCAACTCCAGAAGAGCGACGTATCATCATATTTGATTCACATATTATTATACCTAATTTTTATGTAGGGGAGATGGGGGCGCATTGATCGCCGTTGCAGTATTTTGAAAACTGCAAACAACCCGATCTAGATATAAAAACTTATTAATTACTAAACTAAACTATAAAAATATGTCTTTAAGTAAAAATAATTGTTTTAATAAAAAACATTAATGAACGTGGTATATTTCAACATTACAACAACCCTTGCAAAAGATCAATGTACCCCATGCAATTGGGTACTATGATCTCCGATATGGGGCACTTTGATCATATATGAGTAACATTTACATGTTTAAAACTGCTATACCTAAGTGCTACAAATGCATTAGTTGAAGGATATTAGTGTATATTATATAATACATCTAAAAAATAAAAGTAAAATTTAAAACATATATATATATATATATATATATATATATATGCTACAGTCATTTCAGGTTCCACAAGAATTGTGTTTACCACATTTGGAGCAGCACGATCTGTAACTGATGATGGTAAATATTCATCATCTTTAAAAATTTCTGGATTAAATGGCTCAATGCCAGCTACTTGAAATCATCTCTGTATATTAGATGGTGAGAAAGCTTTTGTATATGGTTCGCGAACTATTGAAACAATATCATAAATGGTCATAGATCTTGGATTTGTTACCATCCAATTATCACACGCAGCATTGTAAAACCTTTTCAATGGTCCAAAAACAGTTCTATCCAATGGTTGCAATTTATAGGTACAATGGGGAGGAAAACTTAGCATTGTAATTCCATGTTGAATTGCAAGATGAATTGAAAGCTCTAACAGAAATATGACTTTTATGGCTGTCCAGAAGTAACAAAACTGGAGATTCATGAGAACAGTGAATACCTCACAAAATGTTTTATTCATTCTATAAAATGTCTGAATTCATCCAATCTGAAGGATTTTCAAATCCCACGTATCCAGGAGGACCTTCCTTTATCGTGTAATCATGAAATTTGACCCTAGAAAAAACAAATAGTGGAAGAATAGAATTTCCAATTGCATTTGAAGCACAACATACAGTTACTAATGTTCCTCGTTTTGCAGATGTGATTCTTCCTACTTGTTTACTTCCTTTACCTGCTATACTGACTTTTGTACTGTTGTTAAACCAGTTTCATCAACATTATATATGCAATAAGGATCAAACTTATATCGATTTCTACTGTTTTTAGATTTTGGGAAAATTCTCCAACAGTGTGTCGGTTAAAGGCAGTTGATCGAGCAAAGCTAGTTGCTTCAGGTGTTTGTAAAGACACCTCTGGTTGTCTTTTCATAAAAACTTGCAACCAATCAATCCCTGCCATTTTATTCTTGATTCATGATGAAGGGCAAATCTTATTATTTTTTACAGCAAACTCGTATGCAAATAATCGTGTTGACTTAGTTGAAAGTACATAGTTCATTTTTGATGCAGGTAGAAAATAACTTGACAAACTTTTTTCATCTTCTGCAGTAAAAACTTGTTTATTGTTATAATTAGGCTTCAGAAATTCATTTGGGTTGAGCTTCTTTTTATTACAATATCTTTTTAAGGTCATTCGATTTATGACGAATCAAAAATCTTTATATAAACTTTTAAAATTTCATTTTTAAAATGTAATAGTGTTAAAAACATTAGTTTTTAGTTTTACATTAGTTTACAACTAGTTTACATAATATTATTATATAAAATATTTTTTCATTAAATTCAACCCAAATCAAGTTTAAATCGATATATTCGATTTAAACTTGCGAGCTACAACATTCACTGGTCTGCCCTCTAAAACTTCATTAACAGCTGATTTTATTGTATCGCATGATATAGCTACTCTGTCTGTTTTTTTTTTTCTATAACTAATTATTAAAAGATCTGTAAATTTTAAAAAAAGTAAAATAAAATGATTGTTTAAAAAAAATATTTTATATAATAACATTATGTAAACTAGTTGTAAAACTAATGTTTTTAACACCATTACATTTTAAAAATGAAATTTTTAAAGTTTATATAAAGATTTTTTATTCGTTGTAAGTTTAAATGTATAAAATTTAAACAAAAAATTTAAGTCTTATAATATAAGTTATATGGGGCACTTTGATCCTCCGATCAATGAGCCCCGCATAGTCAACGATCAATGTGCCCCATTAGGTACAGTTGATATATTGATGCCAATAACTTCTATAAATACAGTAACCAACTCAAAAAAACAAATTTATTATAAACTTAACACATTTGAGTTTACAATAAATTGGTTGTAAAGTCATACGGAAATCTAATTAAAAATTTATTTGAATTTGTTTACAACTTTCAAAAATCACTTTTCATGATAAAAACAGTCTTTTCAATTTTTTTAACGCTGAAGTTGATCTTATCAAAAATTATTACGATTAAGCAATGAAGGGTAGTATAATGGTTAATTAAATTGGAATCTCTGTTAATTTAAGGCAAAAGTAAACGAGTAAAAGCTAAAAGATCATACTGCCCCGGCGATCAATGCGCCCCCATCTCCCCTAAACTTTTTAATGATTAAAGATTTTTATTTTTTTATTTACAACAATTATTAAAAAAAAATCCTTAAAAACTTTAACTCACTGGTTTAAAAACTAGTATATGTCAATGAGGTATGATCGGGTGGTATCAGACACATGTTTGGAGGGTGGCTCCGGACAACTTAATTTTTTTACATATTAATAATAAACAACTTTTTTTATTTAAATAATAATACATTAAATATAATACACAAACCTTTAAAAGTAATTCATTTAATTCCAATAAAAAAACATTAGATTTGAAAAAAATGTTTTTAAAGTGTTTATTTTTATTATAATAAAGCTTATGTTTATATTTTTAAATGATGACATTTTCATTCTCATTCCTTTTATATCAAAGGTAATTTTTAAAGGCGATTTTTTTAAAAATGTGTTGAGAACAGTTCAATGCTAAATTATTATATTTTACATTTAAGTCACACTGGTAAAAAAAGAGATAAAATCATGGTTAAAATATGTGTCCGAGGCTACCTTTTTTTTCTTCTAATTATTTAAAAACTTTGACATATAAAATTCGCCGAATGGTCACACACGAGCAGTGAACGCCTGAGGGAAGAAATAAAGTACATTAAAATAAAGGAGAATTATTTATTAGACAAAGCATATTTTGACAGTTCTCAAGACAAAAATAAAGATTAATTAGAGGAATATTTAAAAATAAATAAGACAGGCTATACACCCACAACAATAATAACAATAAAAATAAATTTAAAAAAAAAAAATTGTTTTATAAACACCAATATGAACGAAGATATATATCACCAGACAAAAACTTGTAAAACAAAAAACGGATCACAAAATAAAAAATCTGATAACAACAATGAGAGGCATTTAATAATGGAAAAAAAACATTAACGCAAATGTGTAAACATAATTTGTGTAGTGATTAAGTAATAAACATCTCCTCAGAGTCGCGTTTATTATTACTGGCGTTTTGATGAGAATCAGCATTTATAACTATTTTA